ACCGTGGGAGCTATGGAATTAGCCCTGGACCCGCCCTAATCACAGAAGCACCAATAATCTGCTTGGATGTCTCCCAGGTGCTGAGCTTACAAAGGCACCAGAGGCATAAATCTGCCAAAGTCTCAAAGCTGCTGGCTGGACACAGCTCATATTTCAGCCCCACCTCTGTGTGTAGGCAACCACCAGGGCTTGTCTACTCGCAGAGCTCATAGAGTCAAGAGTTGTGCCCACTGTGAGCACAAAGAGAATGAGGCTGCTTGGTGGGGTCCTGACCCTCCCTTCATGAGCACATTACCAGTGGGGCTTCTATGGTGGACCCAGGCATTATCCTGCTCACACCTTGTGGCCTGGGCCATACTCCAATACATTTTGGCTGTCTCCGCGCAGTCAACCCCAGTCCTCTCCCCAGGTCTGTCCCCTAAAGCCTGAGTTTTAGCACCCAGCCCCCTCGCACCAGCAGACACACATCTCAGGCTGGGGAGTAAGTAGAGCGAGGTGGCCAGGACCATCAGTGCTGGTCTCTCTTTGTTCTGCCTTCCTAAAGCCTGTTGCTGCACTCCTCTGAGCCAGTGAAGCTCACTTTCTGTCCTGGCTGATTTTTCCCAGCTGGTGAAGGGGGTTCCTGGGGTTAGAGAACCTTTCCTCTTACACAGCTCCCTCTCCCAAAATAGTTTTGAATTTGTTTTTGTAGGTCTTTCACCTTTTGTTCTCTTCTCTTGTGATTTGATGACTATCTCTAGTGTTGTGGATAATTTTGTGTGTATATCTATTATAGATTTTTAGTTTGTGGTTACCATGAGATTTTTGTAGAGCGGTCTATATGTATACGTGATTGTTTTAAGTTGCTGCTCTCTTAATTACAAATGCATTTTTGAAATCCTGCGTTGGTACTCTCCTCCCCTCACAATTACTGTTTTTGATATCTTTTTTTTTTTTTTTTTTTGCGCGGTACGCAGGCCTCTCACCGTCGTGGCCTCTCCCGTTGGGGAGCACAGGTTCCGGACGCGCAGGCTCAGCGGCCATGGCTCACGGGCCCAGCCGCTCCGCGGCATGTGGGATCTTCCCTGACCGGGGCACGACCCGACGTAGGGGACTCCCAACCACTGCGCCACCAGGGAAGCCCTTGATATCATATTTTATATCTAATTGCTTTGTGTATCCCTTAACTGCTTATTGTAGATACAGATAATTTTTCTACTTTTGTCTGTCAGCCTCCCTACTGGTTTGCATTTGGATTATTTCCTATATGTTTGCCTTTGTCTGTGAGCTTTTTCATTTCTTAATTTTCTTGTTTCTAGTTGTGGCCTTTTCTTTTTCATCTAGATAAGTTCCTTTAGCATTTGTTCTAAAGCTAGCTTGGTGGTGCTGAATTCTTTTAGCTTTTATTTGTCTGTAAAAGTTTTGATTTCTCCATCAAATCTGAACAGGAGCTCTGCTAGGTAGAGTATTCTTGCTTGTAGGTTTTTCCCTTTCATCACTTTTTTAAATATATCATGGCACTCCTTTCTGGTCTGCAGTTTCTGTTGAAAAATCAGCTGATAGCCTTATGGAATTTCCTTGTATGTTATTTATTGCTTTTCCCTTGCTGCTTTTAATATTCTCTCTTTTATCTTTAATTTTTGTCATCTTGATTACATTGTGTCTTGGTGTGTTCCTTGATTCTTTGTACTTCCTGGACTTGAGTGACTGTTTCCTTTCCCAGGTTAAGGAATATTTCAGCTATTATCTCTTCAAATATTTTCTCAGGCTTTTTCTTTCTGTTTTCTCTTTCTGGGACCTCTTTAATGGTAATATTAGTGTGCTTGATGTTGTCCCAGAGGTCTTTGAAACTGTCCTCATTTCTTTTCATTCTTTTTTCTGTTCAGTGGCAGTGATTTCCAGTACTCTGTCTTCCAGCTCACTGATCCATTCTTCTATATCACTCAGTCTACTGTTTATTCCTTCTGGTGTATTCTTCATTTCAGTTATTGTATTTTTCATCTCTGTTTGGTTGTTCTTTGTATTTTCTAACTCTTTGTTAAAAACTTATAACTTCTTGCTCTGGCATCCATTCTCCTCCCAAATTCTTTGGTCATCTTTACAATCATTATTCTGAACTCTTTCTCAGGTAGAATCTTGTTCCTTCATCTGGAACATATTCTTCTGCCACATCATTTTGTCTAAGTTGGTATTTTTATGTATGTGGTAGGTTAGTTACATTTCTTGACTTTGGAGAAGTGGCCCTCTAGGATGTGTCCTATGCATCCCAGCAGTGCACTCCCTTCTCGCCACCCAAGCTATATGCTCTAGAGTTTCCTCCTAAGAGGGCTGTGTGGGTCCTTCTGTTGTGGTGGCCTGACTATGTGGGTGATCTGGTGGGCTTGGTTGGTTGCCAGGCCCTGCCTTGTGCGGATGCTGCTGGCTGCTGTTCAGCAGGCCCTGGTCATGAAGTGACTGCTTGCAGAACCCCAGGGGGCCCCAAGGCTAGTGCTGGCTGGGTGGTCAGAGTCAGGTTCATGAAGACTCTGGGGCTGTTGCCCACCCATTGGCAGGTTAAGCCGGATTCTGGAGGCAACTGGGTAGTCAGAGCTGGTTCCTGGAGTCTGGCTGCAGGGCCCCTGGATCCCAGAGCACATATAAGATTTGGGGTTGGGAGGTGGTTCTTGACACAGTTGGTTATGGGGTCCAGGGTGTCCTGAAGGTTGCATTGGCCTGCTAGCGGGCACAGTCTGGCCTGCTGTGGGCAGACTTGGTCCGTAGTCTGCGGGAATCATATTTTTCTTGCATCTGGTGTCTGCCCCCTGGGTGGTGAGGCTGCTCTAGAGGCTTGTGCAGGCTTCCTGGAGGGAGGGGCTAGTGTCTGCCCACTAGTGGGTGGAGCTGGGTCTTAGTCCTCTCATGGGCAGAGCCATGTCTAGGGGGCATATCTTGAGGTGGCTGTGGGCTCAGTAAGTCTCTAGGCAGCCTGTCTGCTGAGGGGTGGGGCAGTGTCCCTGCCCAGTTAGTTGTTTAGCCTGAGGAGTCCCAGCACTAGCACCTACAGACTGTTGGGTGGGATAAGGTCTTGGAACTAATAAGCCAAGATGTCAGCCGCCAACAGTGTTCCCCGGTATTCTGCCATCAGTGTCTGTGTCCCTAGGGTGAGCCACAGTCCCCCTACCACCCCGTGTCTCCAGGAGACTCTCCAAGGCTAAGAGGTAGGTCTGGCCCAGGTGCCTATCAAATTACTGCTTTTGCCCTGTGTCCGGGTGCATGTGAGATTTTGTATGCTCCCTCGAAGAGTGAAGTGTATTTCCCCCAGTCCTGTGGAGCTCCTGCAGTTAAGCCCCAGTGGCCTTCAAAGCCAAATTCTCTGGGGGCTCATCTTCCTGGTACCAGACCCCTGGGCTGGGGAGCCTGATGTCGGACTCAGAACTCTCACTCCTGTAGGAGAACCTCTGCAGTGTAATTATTCTCCAGTGTGTGGATCACCCACCCCAAGGGGTATGGAATTTGATTATATCCAGGTTGTTGTGGTTCCTTCTTTATGTCTTTAGTTGTAGAAGATCTTTTCTGGTGGTTCCCAGTCTTTGTCATCAATAGCTGTTCTGCAGATAGTTGTGGTTTTCGTGTGCTTGTGAGAGGAGGTGAGCTCAAGATCTTTCTACTCTGCCATCTTGGCCAGTCTCCCAAACACTTTATTAACCTTGTGAAACTGATGCCGAAAACTCGGCGTCTGTGCACCAGTACGGAATTGAATCTCGGAGACAGAGTTTTGGGTGAAGTAGAAGAGAACAGCTTTATTGCTCTGCCAGGCAAAGGGGGACACAGCAGACTCAGTACCTCTCAAAACTGTGTGTCCCGACCTGGAGGGATTTGGTGAGTTGTTTTATAGCAGTGGTTCAAAGGCAGGGTTGCTGATAAGGATCAGGGTGTGTGCAGGGCCTGGCTTCAGGTGGTCTGATGAGTTTCTGTGACTCCTTTAATCTGGCCTCAGATGGTCTCTTGAAGAGCTTCTCTGGTTCCTTTTAATCTGGGATAAAGAATGCTAACATCTTACATTTGTTGGGGGTTTTCGTTCTGTAAAGAACTCATTGTTATGTGTATCCCTTCAGGCAGAACCAGGACCCTATCCAAAGGCTACACTGTTGTTTCTTGACTGCTCCTCCCTTGTCTCTGCATGGCAACAGTTCAAATCTGCCCTTTGGAACTCAGGGAGTGTCACGGAGGCTGGAGTCTGTTCCCTATAAACAAGAAACTGGGGACACGGAAAGGCTTCCATGCCCGGGAGCCCCACAGGCTCATGCTTGGTTTCAAAACTAAATATGAACCATGAAGAGTGGATTGGAACTGATAAATTGAGAGTAATTATGTAAGCTGATTAGTTGGTAACTAATTACCAATTAGTTGAGTCAGATTTATTTTTATGTTTTATAGAACTAAATTGTTTTAAGTTCTGTGCTTTTTGATAGTTTGAAAGTGGGTGTTTATTGTAGTCAAAAGTAATGAGCTAGCTATTTGTGGTATGTTGTTAAATAGTAATGGTTATTTTTATGTTTTATATTTTAAATTTCGATCACATTGTTCATTATAAATCTATTATTTTTATTCAGTTAAATCTCATTTGCTTTCTTTCCATGATATATGCCTGAGACATCAGAAAGAGAAGGTGGAAAAATCAAAGCAACTCATTTTACTGGCATTTTAGGAAAGAAAATGTTTAGATTGATCCACTTTTCTAGCTGTCTATCCCATTTAAAATTCCAGCTTGAACTCTACATACTTTCTATCCCCTTCCTCTGCTTGGTTTATTGTAATTACACTGCCTTCAGACATACTGTAATTTACTTACTGGTTTTGTGTCCCCTCCCCATCCCTATCCATGCAAGAATGTAAGTTCCATAAAGACAGGGATCTTAATTTAGTTCTTTTTCTTCACTGTATCCCATAAGCCTGGAATATTGTCAGGCACATAGTAGACACTTAATAATTATGTTGAATTAGTGGTCTCAAATTGTAATAAATTTCCTGCCTTCTTACAGAAAGAACATACTGGTCGTCTTGTTATAGGAGATCACAAATCCACATCTCACTTCCGAACAGGTAAGAAAGTAAAATATAATTAAAGTGGAGGTGCTAAATTTGGAATATGAAATATTTGTACATATTTTGGGATATTCTAACTTTCGTGTATAATTGTTGATTAGTTCTAATGATTAATAAATATTAGAAATATATGTAGTATATGTAAACATGTTACGTATATCATTTAACAGTTAGTATATACTTTCATAAAAGATTTGAGTATATGTACATCAATATGATATTCTAACCAAGAAACTAACCAGTTTCTGTCTTCATTTTTACTAACTCACAACATGTAGTATTTTAATTGTAGTGAGGTTTTATGCCTCATCTTGCCAACTATAGTAACTAGAGTTTACATGTATTTTGTAAATTATTTAATATACAGTGTTATAGTTGGCATATTATACTGGTTTTTAGTTTATTCACTGAGTTTTGCTCTGAAATCTTGGAAGAGTATAAACTCATTGGAATGCCTGAAGAAATTAATTTTTCTTTTAATTTTGGGGGAAAAACTTTAAAAGTAAAAACAGAAAATGAATTAGAATTTGGATTTGAATTCAGTCTGCTGAAAAGTTTTATCCCATTTAAAATTGGCCCTAATCTTAGACATTAGAAATTAATAGGCATTTTATATTTCTGGTGTTGAACAGTTATTTCAAATTGATTTGCACTGCTACAAAAGGCAAAAGAGTCCCTGAGCTTTGGCAGAATGGAAATATATTTAACTGTTGCATTCATTCTTTTAAAATATGAAATTCTTCTTGTATTTACAAATTAAAATGTCACGTACAGAAAGCTTCACTGGTATTGTTAATGTTCTGCTTCTTGGGTGGTAAGTTTATAGGTGGTTGTTTAGTATTCTGCTTCATAACTTATATATATAACAATATATGTTAAAAATAATTTATATATCAAATGTTGCATGATAAAATTACAAATAAGTTTATGTTGGTGCAGTAAACTGATATGCAAAGAAAGGCGTAAAGGGAAGCCATTCCAAGGTCATTTTACATTTTATTTAGCCATTCTCTAAACAGAATTGTGTGCCTTTTCATTATTTCTGTTCAAAGACAGAAGCTTTTGTTTGTTGGAGGATTTTTTCTGCATGACTAGGAGGAAACTTTCAGGAGAACCATTATTAGACTATAAATAAACTAAAACATCATGCCCAAAGTTCTTAGTAATTAATAGTTACAATATGTAAACTTAAGCAGTTCTGAGATTCCTGTATCTGGTTTGAATTATTACATGGGAAAAATTAAGTTTTTCATCTTTAATAAACAACTTGTGCTTCAGGGGGTTGGTTACTAAAGAAGTAATCATAAATACATCCTTCAATTATTTTATCTGTTGGGTAACTACCTATGGTTTATAAACCCATCCACAAAATTTGCTGTAAAATTAGTCACAGTTAGAGAAATCAGCCCTGAATATAATAGCATCTGTATTGTGGGTTTTTTGTGTAATCAAATATTTTTATTAATTTGACTGAAACATAATCAAAGTACACTGGACATACAGGGGAAGAAGACAAGAAAATTAACGAAGAACTGGAGTCTCAATATCAACAAAGCATGGACAGTAAATTATCAGGAAGATACCGACGACATTGTGGACTTGGCTTCAGTGAGGTAGTAATTATGTATTTTCATTAAGTGGGAAGATAATTTCCAATTTGATTATCATTTATTTGTGTTAAATTACTCTAGCGATCAAGAACCCTATGTAGAAGGCTTTCTTTATACAGTTACATTTTTACATGCCAAACTAGGTCTTTGTAGATAATAAGAATAGATATTTTTGACAGTTTTAGAAATATGTTTTCTGGTACTAGCTTAATATAAATTCTGCTTAGATAATCATTAGGGCACATCTTAAGTAGGCATGAACAACATACAAGTTACATGAAATATTTCATGTAAATACCGGTTCAGGAGAGTTTTCTTGGTTGTTTCCTACATCATCTCTTTTCATATAATAACTATTGGTCCATTACTCCAAAGTAATATAATATGCAAAACATTGATAACTGTTTAAATATTCCCATGGATCAGTGGTTAACTTGCCTTATTTACTTAAAATAATACTGTTTCCATCAGGAAGATAATAATATATTATTTTCAAACTAGGGGGGAGGGGAGAAGGTGAGTGGTCTTCAGAGCCCTTTCTTAAACCAAAATCCTACTCAAGTCCCAGGGTATAAAACACATGGAGGTGCCTGAGTCCTCATTTCTTCCCTAGGCAGCCTCTGATCTTAAACTGTTAATGGCTAGGGAGTGAGACAAAAATTTTGGGGTCTTTTCCAGTTTTTATACTGGATAATGTATTTTAATAGCTGTTGATTGATGTTTTTAGGTAGATGATCATGATGGAGAAGGTGATGTGGCTGGAGATGATGATGATGATGATGATTCACCTGATCCTGAAAGTCCAGATGACTCTGAAAGTGATTCAGAGTCAGAGAAAGAAGAATCTGCTGAAGAACTCCAAGCTACTGAGCACCCTGATGAAGTGGAGGATCCCAAAAACAAAAAAGATGCAAAAAGCAACTATAAGATGATGTTTGTTAAATCCAGTGGTTCATAACTCCCAAACACTTAGTCTTTGTATTAAAAGTAAGCCTTATTGTTATAATGCACAGTGGAGGACTGCTTATAGAGCACAGACCTTTGTATTATAATTTTTAAAAAGGCCCTTTTAAATAATTACAAAGAGTGTTTGCTTTCAGATGCCATGGGTTACACTTTTATGGGCATGACTATAACCATTTTTGTAAACAGTAAGAGTTGTATAAAATAAGAAATAAATACAATACTCAACTTCCTTTCATGTTAGCATCATCAAACTTCTAATACTACCTTTTTACCCCTTCAAATACAGTTACGGGGGAAACAGTATTTTTTGTGTGGTAGCTGTTTATCTTTTTTTGTTCCTTCATGTTTCTCTCTTATAAAAGTTTATCTGGTACTGTGATGTGTTCATAAAAATATTCTTTTATTATACTCTCTTATAGTAGAACTATTCACCATGGATATTTCTGCTGCCAGTAACAATCTAAATTAATGCTGGCAAAAGATTAGGTACTTAGTTTACTCTTACTGAATCAGCTCTACTCTTTTGGACCAAAGCAACATGAGAGCAAATACTTTTCACACCGGTTAGGATGGAGTTGCAGTTGTCATATATTTGGAATGTTATGATCCCAAGCATTCTTCACATAATTTGAATGACACTGTACGTTAGATTTTTGATAAAATTGGCCAGTTTTTACAGAAGAAATTTTTTCTCTGATCATTTGGTCCTATCATCTATTTAGGAATATGTAAAACTGGATTTTTTTTTTTAAGGTAATATGTGACCAAAGTTAATTTTCTTCCTAACACCTAAATAAAGAGAAAGCAGTTTCTTATATGTGGTTGTGATACCTTTATCCTCATTATCTGAAAATGAGGAATAGGCTTATTGAACAAGAAGCTGAAACAAGATATTCTCTTCATTTTATCCCAGTGTTGTTATCCTGATTATCTAATTACAAAAAGGAGTATTGCTGTATGATTTTATCGCCACTTCTGTTGGAGTAAGATCTGACTGTTATTATGTGGTTAATTTGTACAGCAGAGTAACACAAACTGCATTATGGGCTAGTCAATGATCTTTGAGTAATTGGGTTCAAAATCTTAATGTTTAAGTGACATGTTCAAAGGCTTTGAGTTAAACCTTTTTGTTTGCTGAACTGTTACACATCTAGATACTTAAGTATGTGTTTAATGTGTTGTTTTTTTTTTTAATTCCTGTGTCATTTTGAAGTTTAGAATTTTCGAGGAATGTAGCAAATAGAACAAGCGATTTCTGGATTATGCAATCCATCCTGAAATTTTTTCATGTATCAGACCCCCAACATTTCATTTTTTCTTATGTCTCACATTGTTTGTTTTATAATAGGTGCTACCCTATATAGTAAAATACTGAGTCAGTGACTAGTAGAATGTGTAACATTTAACAAATAGTATCTGGTTTAAACAAGTTTGGCTTTGTTCAAATTTCAGTTTGGCCACTGATTGTCAAATAGCTAGTCTGTAGGGTTGCTTATTACAACTAATTTAAGTAGAAAGTGAAGACTGATATATGTTTAAGAATGGAAGAGGGAGAGACCAGTATTATGTTTTAAAAGGTATTTTCATCAGTTTATTTAAATATGCTTGGTTATTTATAAGTCTTGGTTCTTATATGTAAATAGAAGAGCCTCCTTCTAAAATAACTACACTGGAAGACCTTTTTTCTTCATCTTCAGAGAAAGAAATTCTCATTCCAATTCATATATTATTGGACATTAACAAAATTCAGGGTTGGAATAAATTTAGGTCTGTTGGTCCATGTGGCCTAGTGTCCCAGCACCACATTAAATATCATGGCTGTCTTTTAAGCATGAACATTGGGTTGGTTTTTGCTTTTTTTTTCCTTATCAAATTGTGTGTGTGTGGTGGGTGGATTAAAGGAAGAGAGATGCCATGGCATTTTGATATCCCTACTGAAGTACCATAAGGGAAAACACATTTTTTGGGGGGCAGTGAAACATGCTATTGAGGGGAAAGTTGAGTGGCAACTTTTTCTTACTATTGATAATTTCTTACCTGAAATACACTTCTCCCAAGTGCTTGACTATACCAGTGATCCAGTGATCTTTCTATTGTAAAGGTTTTCAGGAACACAGATTCCAATTTTGTGTGTATTGATAGGTAAAAATCCTCTTCTCAAATCTAATTTTTTAAATCCGGATGAATTGCAGGTACAGAAGAAAGTCTGAAGTGATTGCTGTTCTGATAAAACAACAGTTTGAGAGCAGAAAGATAGGTCATATTCTTTGAGTAAATTTTGAGGAAATAAATTGCAACTACCTGGTTGACATCAGTGGCCACTTACAGGGCTTTAGTTCCATTACTCTTGTCTCCACAGCAGCCACATCTTGGCTACTTTCAATATCCCAAAACAACTTTACCTCCGAAATCACAAATGTAGAAACCTCACCTCTGACCATAACAGTTATATTCCTTTACACAAGTTCAAATCAGGTCATTATCAGTCTGTTTTCACCAGTTCCATAAGCCCTGTCTAGATTTTTAAGTGATCTGTCAATTCAGTGTCACTGTTGTCAGTATCCCAAATAACCCTCCCCAGAGTCATAACCTTTCTGGAAAATACAGCCCTAGATGTATCCAATTCCCTATGGATTATTTCTGGAGAAAGGCCACCAACTGTACAAATCAATATTACTAAGTGTTAATTAACAACACTGCATGTTATCCTTACTGTTACCTCTCATCAACTCTTTTCCTGTTCTTAACTGTTGAAAACTCTTCTCAAACTTGTGACCCTGTCTTTTCTCCTTCACTCTTATAACATGTCCTTGCTTTCTGGCGTACATTAAAGAGATTTTATCAGGCAGAAATTCCCTGAACTTCCACCTAAATTGACACCTGTGGAGAAGTGCTCCAATGCTCTAGGTGACATCCCAGCTCTACTAACTTAGTGATAAACTCAGTGACCTTGGGCATAATTAAATCTGAGTCTCCTATCCTCATCTGTAAAATGAGACTATCAGTAGCAACCACGTTGTATGGTTATTGTGAGAATTAGTTGAAACAGTTAAAAAGTTTAAGCACACTGATAAAAAACAGCTCAGTAAATGTCAACTACTGTTAACCCTTTGCATCATCTTGTGAACCTAGTACTTTTGATTATCTTGTTTTAGGAGTCTTCAACCTCTCCCTTAGTCTGTTGATCCTTTTTTTGTCAACATTTCTCCCCAAGTCCCTAGGTATTTCACATCTTTTAAAAAAGATTTTTCCTAGATACCATACACTTCGGCTATAATCCTATCTCCACATTTTCAATATTCAATTTTAATAACATTTCTATTACTGTCTGCTTCAGTACCATCCCCTTCTCCCTCAATCCACTCCAATATAGCTTATACCCAACTTTTTTTTTATTGTTGTTTCTTTTGGCTGTGTTGGGTCTTCATTGCCGTGTGCAGGCTTTCTCTAGTTGTGGTGCGCGGCCTTCTCATTGCGGTGGCTCCTCTTGTTGTGAAGCATGGGCTCTACGCGCTCGGGCTCAGTAGTTGTGGCTCGTGGGCTCTAGAGCGCAGGCTCAGTAGTTGTGGCACACAGACTTAGCTGCTCCATGGCATGTGGGATCTTCCTGGACCAGGGCTCCAACCCGTGTCCCCTGCATGGCAGGTGGATTCTTAACCACTGTGCCACCAGGGAAGCCCTACCCAACTTTAATACAGCTGTATCAACTACTTTGATCAAATCAACAATTCTTATTTTCCTAAACCATATTTTTTAATTCATTCCTTGCTTGACCTGATAGCATTGCTTGGCATTGTTAGCCAGTAGTCTTCAAATGAATACACACTCCTGGGATACATGAAGGGGTTCAACAGAATCAATTTCCCAACACTGTACATTCATATGTACTTGTTCTAAATTGATCTCTGAAAACTACTATTCCTTTCACTGTAACCCTTCACCCGTTAGAAAAAAGAAATACCTCTCATCCATCCCAAAACTCACTGTGTTTACCCTAAGGAGTAAAGCCTCCAAACAAAGGGACAATTTGAAACGTTGATGTTAAGGTCTGAATGACTCCTTTTGCAAGTCAGGTAGTTTCCAGTTACATGCCCTCAATAAAATTGGTAGAGAACTGGATTGTCAGCTGATTCATTAGACATACAATTTGAAGAAAGATCACTATGATATTTGGCCTAAATTCCAAGAGTTCAGAGGATTAAGTGATGTTTCTAAAATCTATTACTGACTTCATGTGAGCAAGGTTTCTCAGTGCTTTCATCTATAAAAATAGAAAATAGAAATTTTCTCCTTTAGAAGCTCCAATTATGTGCATGTTACATCTCCTATCTCCATGTCATTTTATTTTTATGCTTTCTCATCGTGATTGAGCACTGTATACTCTATCATCCCAATTTTGTATTCATTTTTATGATTATTATGTAATTTTTTTCCTTGAATTCTGCCAGCTCATGTTTCTTCTGTTTCCTCATATCCTCTTGTATTTCTGATGTCGGCACTTTACCGAGATGTTAAGATATTAAGGTTGTCATGAGATCTTTGATTATAGTTTTCAACTATCTGTTGAGGCAACATTTTTCTGGTGAGTGCTCTTCACCTGCCATGTATTTTTTTTTTTTGATCCTTTTCTATTTTTATATCCTCCTCCAAACCCTGTGCCAGTTCTTTTTTATTGTTTGGTCAACTGCAGATATTTTCTCAGCACCTGCTATGTGCCAGGCACTGTTCTAACCACTGGGAATACAGCAGTAAACAAAATCAGTCCCTCCTTTAATGAAGCTTACACTCTGGTGGAGGGGAGACAAACAATAAACAAATATATATCATTTGTTTTATAAATATTAAAACAAGGTAAAGGGATGCAATGAATAATAAAGCTAGGGGCAGCAGAGGGTTGTGAGATGAGTTCAAAGAGAGAGCAGGAATAAGATCATTAGAGTTGTGACATGAACTTTGGATTTTATGCTAAGGAGAGTGAGAAGACATTGGAGAGTTTTTATTAGAGTGACATGATCTAACAAAGCTTAGGCAGCTGTAGGGAGTCAACTAGAAAAATGGAGAGCACAATTATGAAATTATTGCAAGATTCTAGGTGAGCACAGGGGCTCGGACTAGGGTAGTCATAGTGGAAGTAATGAGAACTAGATTCTAGATTGGATGTAGTATATGAGAGGAGTCAGAAATGAGCTCTTGGAAGAGAGGAATTTCTGTTTACCTGGATGGTGAAACAGATGACTCGTCTTTAAATGAAGTTCTTCCCACGTGTTGCAGGGTTTTCATGAAGGGGAAAGGTCAAGCTGGCAGAAAAATTTATCATGGTCCAGAGTTATGTGTGTGAACCATTGTAGCTCTGCCAGTGAAATCAGATGCCAAATGGCTTTTCACATCGCAGGGGACCGCTTCCCTGCTGCTCTAACAGACCTGTCTCACAAATAGCCTCACGTTTAAGAAGACACTAGCTAGGTTTCTCAGATCCTGCAGAGGCAAGCATACCCCCTGTACTCTCCTTTGACCTTTACTACTTTTTCAGCTCTTTCACCCATTTTAGAGTTAAGAGTTTCAGATGTCTCCTAGTTTCGTTGAAGCTGGAGTCAACTTCCTTTTCTCATTCTCCTTATTGCTTCTGGGTGATTTTCAAGAGAAGAGAGAAAGGACTTAACTCTTCTGTCTCCAAACTCGGAAGTACACATTAACTTTTAATACCCAAATTACTATGCCTTGAACCCTTACTCATTTGATTTCTGAACTTCAGCTGCTTACCCCACTCTCAGAAAGCATTCCACAATTACTACAGGCCTGAGAAAAAGCAAAGGAATACCTCCCATATGCTCCCCACAAGATATGCCACCCACAGTTACCCAACAATGCCTTCCCTCTTCTCCCCAAGTCCCAAAACCTGCGCTCAAAGCTGGCCTCAAGTAGCCTAACTTGCACTACTGAAAATGGTGCCTCTTGTGCCATTACCAGTACCAAGATGTTGCCTCCTCAGGCTTTTTCATATGGAGACACTTTACCTGCTGGTCTTTTCAAATTAGGTGAAGCCATTTCCTAAAAGACTGTTATATTAGAAATAAGATCAGTCCTGAAAACAGGCTCACAGTTAGTTAATGTAGTAAATACGAAACTTAGCTTTGAGCTTCCAAACAGCCAAAGTCAAAGGTGCACACACCTGTCTCTAGTAAACCGGTGATGTGCTTTCTGTCACAAAGCAGGCCATTGGTATTAAGTTTCAAGTGGGTCTTTCTCGTCCGGAGTACCATCCTTTGAC